TGCCTAGGGCGTGCAAAAAAACTCGTGTTTTTCTCTTGCTCCTGGGAAGATAAATCTTTTGGAAACTGCTATTCAATAATGGTGCGCCTCGGGAGGAGAAAAGGGAAAACGAATCTGAGATGGGCGCTTGAAAAAGTTGCAAAAAATTTTCCGATTTTTCTCTTCCACGAGATTAGTGGAGCAAAATCGTTGATCTTCACAGTGGATCTCTAATCCTTTCCGACAATACGACTTCCACGAGATTAGTGGAGCAAAATCGTTGATCTTCACAGTGGATCTCAAATCATTCCCGACAATACGACCATTCTTTTTCCACATGAAACAGTACAGTATCATCATCTGGACATGAGTAACATCAAAANAAAAAAAAAAAAAAGGTACGGTAGATAGAGGAAGAAAGCGACGTGAATGGTGGGAAATACGGGAACCCCGTCGTTCGAAACGAACGACCTTCGCCTTGTAACTGCCAAAAGCTGGTACCGTTAAAATTCCCAAGCAGGGAGAAAACACCAGTCTGGAATCCAGGCCACTGCCGCTGCTTTCGATTTTTATTCCTCCGGACCCTTATTTTTCTTTCATTTTTGTTCTCTACGCGATTCCATCGCAAAACTTCGCAAGCATTGCATCGTAAGTATTGCCTAGGGCGTGCAAAAAAAACTCGTGTTTTTCTCTTGCTCCAGGGAAGATAAATCTTTCGGAAACTGCTATTCAATAATGGTGCGCCTCGGGAGGAGAAAAGGGAAAACGAATCTGAGATGGGCGCTTGAACAAGTTGCAAAAAATCGTCCGATTTTTCTCTTCCACGAGATTAGTGGAGCAAAATCGTTGATCTTCACAGTGGATCTCAAATCATTCCCGACAATACGACCATTCTTTTTCCACATGAAACAGTACAGTATTATCATCTGATGTACTCATTGTAGTTTTATTAACTCCTTCAGGCCTCATGGTATCTTAGTTTAATGTTCCAGTCCAAAAGGCAAGATATGAGCCGTTTGTTAGCCGTTGAAATATTTATAATTTTGAAAAATATAAGTAACCCCACTGCGAAATTGAAGCCTGTTGGAACCCGAGGAGCTGCTCTTTCAGAAAAATGCAGATCATGCACTTTTACCTCCCGAAAACTGGGTTGAAGTCACACGGAACAGCAAGCCTTCAACGCTTTGATTTTTCTGAAAAATTTAAAATTAAAGGTAATATGTCTCAGAAAACGCACTTGTGCATTTCAACTGGTTCCACACAATTCTGTCGACTGTTCGAGATACTGTAGGATCGAAGATATTCATCAGACAAATGCAAAAAATAAAAATGGAATCGATCGAATCCAAGTGCAATACAACTGTATCTTTTCTCCTAGCGGAGCAACAAACTCGCAATAAATATTACTTTTTTATGCCCCAAGAAACATAGAACTTGAAATTCTTCAATGCGAACGTTGGAAGACATGTAAAACTGAATATTCTTCAATGCGGACGCTGGAATTCTCATATCGGGTTTCAAGGTGAAACTGCATACCCTTTGGTGAAGCAACCATGAAAACATCGTGGAAATGCAAATAAAAAAGGCAAAAAATTTGCAAGGAGTCCGTTCCAGTGATTCGCGCGAAGAGAAAAACGATTGGTATGCATTTCAATTTTGCTCGAACACGTTTCTTTCAGATTTTTTCATACGCAGAAAATTCTTCATGTGCTCGCGAAATGATGTTAGTCTCTTTTCGCGTCTGCTCCAATACTGAGGATAACAATCGCATGATAAAACTAAACGCGGTAATTAAACCTTGTATTCGTCTGTAATTTCGATTGAAAAAGAAAAGTCATGAACATTTCTGTGCGAATTACACGTACATCTTTCCGTTGTTCATTTTCCCTCGACTACCAAAATTGTCTTTGGCACAAATATTCAAGAATCGAGACAAGCTCAGATTCAAAATTCTCTGCCAGATGAAAATTTTGTCATAGAATACGAGCACCTGAGACTACTTAAGATAATTGTGAAATCACTTAGGGTAAGAGAAGGAGGCTTGAAAGAGGAACGAGTTTATAAATTATAAAAGAAAGTTCTTCAGGGAAATACAATAACTGCATATACATGATTAGAAATGCGTTGTTTCCTTTCTTTCAAGTAATGTGTATTTTCCTCGTTGAGCATTGTTCAGAAATATATACCGTACGTAGATTTCCCCGATGAATTCGTCTTTTTCCCCCCCTAATGATCAGTAGAATCATTTATACATTCCGCTAATTGGTTGCACTAGATGAGCATGCCATACGGCAATAAACATTCTCCCGAGAAATTTTCGCAACAACCAATCGGCGGAACTTTCGGTCCCCTCCTTTCGCATCAAAAGGGAACTCCGTGATCAACGGAGGTAAGACGCCAGGAAGCATCCATCTCTCGGTCTGGCTCCATATGGGAGAGGGGAAAAACAAGTTTATTTTATTTTATAAACATTACCTGCCGATACAAACAACAAGGAAGCCTAGTGGCATAATTCTCACGCGCAAAAATCGACTCGGATATCCGAACGCCGGCGGCAGCAGCGAGGGGGCAGGTTCGCTTTCCCTCCGTCGGCCCCCGAACGCGCACTTTTTCCTGCACGTCAGACCCACTCCATCACGCGTGCAAATCGAACTTACACCCGCCACCGCAAACCCGCAATCAGAGACGGGAAATTATCACCTTGTGGGTCCATGGGATTATATTTTAAAAAAAAAGAGAGAATCAGATGTGAAGAACACCGAACCCATACAACACAACGACGACAAACAACTTTGTCTTGCCTCCGAATATCATACATTCCTAACAAGTTCATCGAAACATCGTCACAACATTTTTTGCTGCTGTTTTTGTTGTTGTTGTTGTTGCACAAAGTCGGCTAATCTCTAGATTACTTCCGTATAATAATCCATCCCCCTTTGTAGAAATAAAATTAATTTCAGGCGTGTGCTTAGAAACTGCCGACTGTCAAAAATAAGAGGCTCATTGTGAGACGAGTCAAGCAAAAATTCCAAAAGCAACGTCAGAAAATAATTCGCTGAAAAGGGCGACGGAAACCCATGTTTTTTTTCTTTTTAAATCTAAGTGTGACATATTCACGGAGTAATAACATCTTTCAGGGATTCTTAATAGAAGAACAACTCTAAAACCATGTAAATACATCAGTGAAGTGGCCTGCATTACTTTAAATTATGGGATTACTTCAAACACAAATTTAATAGTACTGTACAGTGTTAAGTTCTGTAGGAATCATAAGAAAAGCAGGAAAAAATTTCTTAATCCATGGAAGGTAAGTGCGGGTGGCAACAATAAAAATACGGGACTGGACATTTTCGGGATATTTTTTTTTTCAAGAGCATAAACGGGAAGCAATATTCCAACGGTTAGGACAACATCTGCAGATAATCGTTTGATGTCACAATATTTTGCGAAACTTTGTGTCGGTGGGTTTTTAAGAAGAGATTCAAAGACGGGAAGAAAATTATGAATAGCTACCGGGCACCTATTTCATCCTAACTTTCCAACAGCAAGACAACATTTTCATTTCGCACGCTGATGGAATTAAACGCTATCAGGTGTCCAACAAATGTTCCGAGGAATGAATTATTCAGCCCCGCAACAGGAAGCAACAACCAGTGCGTTGAATTTATCGCTCGTTCCGAACCCGATTAGTTCCACGGACGTGACTTTCATGCGTCATGCTTTTCAAATTAGCTCATTCCGACGTAAAAAATTTCTTATCGCAAGAAAGCAGTGAAATATTCAACTATTTCTCCCTCAGGCGGGAAAAGTTAGGAACGACAACGAGGATTTATTTATTCACTTTTCTGCCTGCAACAACGGCGAAGAACGCTTCGGAATTAAATGTAAGATTACAAACCGATCATAATTCGAAATTTTTATGTAAAAACTTACTCAAGTCCGGCGAATGAGAAAAGAGCTTAAAATGTGTTCCTTATTTATCGGGAAGTGTAAACAAATCTTGAACTCAGAGCAAGTCGCTTACAATGAAAAATGTCCTTGAAACTCTACACGAGCTAGAAAACTCCTGCAAATAATGTAGAACTAAACTAAGCCTGTTCGAATTTCATGGGCTGGAAAAAAAGCTCAGGTTCTGCGATTTAAAATAGTCAGTGCAGGAACTTGACCTTCAAAGCGAACGAAAAGAAGTGAGGAAATGGAGGCAATCACTCTCAACCCACGGACAGAGTCGCTGTTCCTTGAATATGATTCCAAAAACTTTTCAAAAGCTATGATGAAATCAGATCAAGCAAACATCCGAGAGTTTACTACCACGGAACGAAAGCACGGCTGACAGTCAAGGGAAACTTTAGTCCAGATCACCGTCAGTCACGACCCATATTCGGGATATATGAATTTGTGACAGCCGGTGAAAAGCAAGAAACTATCGAGTTTCCCCAAAAAGATTTCAATAAAGCCCCAGTCAAAATATTTAGTGATATAGTCATTTAAAAGTTATTAGAGTATATGCGAGATGAGGTTTATAGTTTCGCAAAATTCAAAGGCGGAAATGAAAAAAATTATTTTTCGAATCCACGTTTTTCCGAACTTTCACAGCATAATATCACACTGAATTATACACCTAAAAATACAGTACTGTAATCCCTCACAAATTTCCTAGGCACAAGTTTGCATTGTATGGGGAAAATAAGGGAACAATGATTCAAATTGCATCCGCAGAGAATTTCCTCAAATGCTGGAAAAATATTCGTTTATCGTTTGTTCTAGATTCCGCCAACGCAGTAACCTAGGAAATTTTAAACACGTCGGGTTTCCCAGCAGTGACATTCAGTAGTCGTAAGATGAAAAGCTTTGAAGTTGGCTTTCTTCTATCATTGTCATAAAGCAGTCAATAATCCCACCAAATCTCACGTAAAACACCGAGATGGCTTTGTTTGAGCGGAGACAGATGTGACCATGCGAAGTGGTACAACGACCTTCCCGGGCTTATTTGTCTCGCGTACTTCATTAAAAATGGAGCATTAGCTCTTTTCCCTGCCATAACTGAAGAGGAGAAACGAGAGAAAGTGCCCACATACCTCAGTTTCAACGGGATGATCTGATCAGAAAGCTTTTCTTCTTGACTATTGGCATTCTCCACACGGACTTGTTGGTCAGCAAGCAGCGTTTCACCATCGGGACTCTGAAAGAGAGAGAAAAAATAGCTTCATTCATGATTCATTTTTCACAGATTTTTCGAAACCGCCGGAAACCAAACCCAGCGCCATACACGAATCGAAAAATTACAGTTGGATTCAATCCGTTATTTCTCTTCACTAATTTATGCAAAAATTTGGTGGAGGGCGTTTTATTCTTACAAAATGATACTGTTACCAGGCTTTTAAATAAAGGAATCCCGCATTTGCTTCATTCACCAACGAAAGACTCCTTCCTGGAGCACTGCAGCGCACAGTATTGTACCTGTACTGTGATTGGAAGATTTCCGTTGGAACTTCTTTCGAGCGACACCTAGCGAAGTGTCTCAAGCTCGAGCGGAGAAAGCTTTCAACCTCTCGAAGTAGATGTCGGGACAGCGAAACGGTCGCCCGCGTTGAACGCGCCGACAGCGATTGGGTCAATATTATGCAGTTACCTTGACCGGATGCGAGATTCTGGCTCCAAGAAATTCAAGAAATTTGAAATTATTCCTCTCTGTTTCTCCGTGGCATTTAAAAATAGCCCCTCAAGCCCCCCGAGAAACACTGACGAACGTGGCGCCGTCACGGACAGCTGAGTCGCACTACGACGCGAAGCGACGTTTCGGGCTTGTAGGATGAAGCGCGACACGCAAAAAATTCCTTGGCACAAGCTGCAGGCTTCCATTCAACCCTCGACACTGAAGGAGACTGAATCTTCTCTTGGTGTCGCCAATGTTCAATAACAGTTAGTATTTCCACAACATGGAGGCAGGGGGGGGGGGGGGATGACGGGAGGCTTGACGAAGATTTTTTCCAGAAAAATGTGGGAGGTGAGAAACCCGGGGCATTTCTGGCTTAGAGAAAACCCGAACACACCCGCAAACCAGCGAGAGTCTTCATTTCAAGATTGTGATGAAAAAAATAAGGCTTAACCAAGATTTTGAAGCATCAATCGCTTATCCTGCACTGTATTATACAGTACGATCAATTGGAATCAAGTTCCGAAAATTGTTAAAGTTTACTACGTGAAATTTACAGCCGTCTCGATGTATTCATTCATGCGAATAAAAGATTACGTTTGTCAACCAACTCTGACACGTGCGTATCAAGTTTGGACAGGTATACTATTTACGGCCTTAGTTAAGACAAAGAATCGTCGAATGAGCATCCGTTAAAAGGCTTACCCTATTAATTCTGAGAAGACCGTTCTTTCGGTTTACAAATGGAATGGTACGGGGCGAAAACCGAAAGAATTGTTCCCAAACGCAAAAAAAAAAATCACAGAAAAACACTGACAAAAATAATTTTATTATTCGGAAAATACCAGCAAACTAGCACATTCAGAGTCATGTTCTACAGTTCTACACGACACGCGGTTGGAAAAAAGTAATGCTTGCTAGGTAGCTGCCTTTGTCAAGAAATATAAAAATAAAACCGCTTTCAGTTGTGTTCCTCGTCTGCTTTTTGGATGACAAGGCAAATGGGTCAAATCTCAAGAGGCCACCCAGACCTCGGCCGGAAATGAGCTAGCCAACATCAATCACTTTCTTTGACCGGACACCGCAATTATGACCTCGATTCCCCGTCCGGAGCAATTTAAAGCTAGATATTCAAATGAACCTCCCGAGTATAAGCCAAGCAAATCATCCCGCGTGGTGGATTTCTAACCCACACGAAGACACAAATGTGGTCTTTTAATTGACTACACATGCACTTAAGGGTTGGCATATTAATCATTAATCATAATAATCTTTGAAAAAGAGCAGATCACACCATTTTTAGAATTATAAAAAAATTTAAATTTGAGGTAACTGCTTTGAAGTATTAAAAGTACAATTACTTTAAATACATAACAAAAAATACTTCAATTACAACCATGTTAAAAGTGATATAAGGCCTGTATAGTTCCAAAAACCTCGACTATTACTCAACCACTCGAACCCATCAGTTCTTGATATTTTTCATGTAAGTAAAATTAAAATCATGTCATAAATTCCCAGAAATAAACCAACATAACATGACTGAGACAGCGCAATTTCGTCGAATGATGCTATTATTGGAAGCAGACGAAGTGAATTCCTAATTTCGCTCTCCTCAACGAATTCCCAAGAAGAACTTTTGACGTCTCAATTAGCTATAACATTTGTATTATCATTTTATTAATAATATTTTTAGACAAACTTTTTTGTATCATCCTTGGAACACTAAGGTCAAAAAATAGATTGAACTGCGGAAAGAAAGAGGTACGTGACCTGAGATGATAGAGATATGGGAAGTTTGAATTAAACTTCCGTCCTCATCATCTTCCTTCTGATAACCTTTTGAACTCCATTCCGAAACACATATGTCTTGATCAGGATGATGGTAACACATAGGCAACGGAGAAAAATCACGCATTGCCACCAGGCCCGATCGTAAGTCCAAATATTCAAAAATTAGGATAAGCAAGTATTCAAGAATGACTCCTTTACACATCAAATCGAGGGATTTCAGGGCTCATGACCATATTTAACATACGCGTTTGGAGGTTGAATGAATTATTCGAATAATAATGCGAAGCGCATTTCGATATTTAGAAAGAAATAATAATGAACTATAATGAATTTAACAAGGGCCAAGGATACTGTTGAAGTCCTAAAATCAAGAAAGGTCATGAGTACACCCAAGCTGACTGTTAAAATAACAGATTGAAAAGTCCTTGATGAAAAGAATTTTCACCTATATTTTTAATTATATTAATTTGAACCCGGGCACTGTTTCCTTTTCGCACGTTATCGCCAGGGTAAATACGTTGATTTACCTTGAAAATTGAGGGCGCATTACTGTACACTGCGTACAGTATTTGTATTTGATTAAAAATTTGCGAACAGCATTCGAAAGTAAAATTTCCAGTAAATAAGGCTCGGATTCCTTTGCCCAATTCGAAATCAAAAGCGTTTTTCTTGGTCTTCTTCCCATTCACTGCAGCAGAATGGGCTATTTGGCAAACCTTGGGTTAATAGAGAGGGGTGTGACATAATTGGTGAATTGAAATGATTTACATGCGTGTAAGAACACTACGACGCATTCTTCGTAAAATTACCTTCTTCACACGCAATGCCCCAGAGATGGCATGCGAATACCACCATTTCTGAACAGTAGTGCAGCACAGTACATCGAAGAACAGTGCTGAAAATTCCTGTTGCAAAATTCGTAACAGAGCGATGGTGTGGGGTTCGGGGGAGGAGAACACGAGAAAAAAGTATACAGTACGAGTGTATGCGAAAAATAAGTAATGGAGTCATTTGTACCTTGTCAGGCCAGGACGGCCGGGTTTCGGGGAGTCGGTCGAGGAGCAGACACAGGCGACGGGCCACGTCCGCGAACAAATCGCGCAGCAACCCGGTGACCCGCGGCCAGAACACGAGCACGAACACGACACCCAGTCCGGCGTACACGCCGGACATGGCAACCCGAGGAAGTCACTGCCCCCTTTTCCGCCTCGACAACAATACCGCCAACGACGACGACGTCGCACTAAACATTGCTCCCTTCTATTATGCTTTTTATTTTATTTTTTGGTTTCTTAGATAAACTTCCGGATTTCACGCATCTTCCGTGAGGTCGACGAACGAGTAGCCATCAATCCATCAGCCCTTTCTCATCATTAGGTTTCTTTCACTCACGAATATCGTATGTTACACACTGAGCCTGAAACGACGTTCGAATCGATTTGTTCTCCACTGAAAACCCCGATTCAAAATTTATTTGAATAGAGTAAATTTCCTTAAATCAGTTAAATGCCTGGAATGATAACTTAGACGGCTGTCTTTCACAATGGGACAAACGCATGCGAAATATAAGTTCTCGAATTTGGAGTTATTTCGCATATTCAGAAATGTGAATGACGATACGAGGTTGACTAATAAATCTATCAGACTCGTTCTCCTTAGTTATTATATTAAAAAGCAATAATTAAAAAAAACTTCACTTCAAAGAACAGAAAAAATTCGAACCATCAAACGTAATTCTGTCTCATCATTGACTTCTTGATTTGCGTTTCTGGCCATAGTTTTCGACCCCTCAAATTTTAATCGGAAACTAATTTTGAACTCTCCCGGGGAAGAATTCTTTGAGACATTACCTTGACAGCTAAATTCAAATATCTTCCGCAAATACAATCGGAAATCAAGAAAAGATAAACTGGGGTAGCGAAGGCTGACAGTTTCGGATCGAACCGTATCGAAATTCTTCGGGAAGATAATATGCGAAATCAGCACAATTATCACTTCTGGGACTTGAGCGGAACATCACGAATCACGTCCGATCTGCGTCTCAGCCAGAAACGAAGAGGAAGGAACTCGTGGAGACAAGGATAGTCCACGGGAATATTTTCGAGCAATGAACAGTACTTGAAAACCTTAAAGCTTACGGGACAACAGACCGAATTACAGGTTTGGTGTTAACCACGTTCTCACGTCATTCGCCTATCGTAAAATAAAAAATACACCGTCATAATAGTGGAAGAAATACCGCTAAATTTTCAAGTACGCCTTCATTTTGTACATCATAGGGTAGAGTATGAAAATGAATTTCTACTTCGTAATGCAAGAGAGATCATAGACTCATGAAACAACGGATGTTTACTACTGTACGATGTTTAGCTTTTAGTTATAAATTATATTTACGATCCAATTAACCTCCATTTGTCGACAAAAGTCATGAATCAAAAAGTATGCACGCAAATTTCAAATATAAAGGGTTTGACCTAATTTCAAGTTTTTATCGATCTACACAGTGGAAATAATGGCTCACACAATAAAGCAGGAAGGACGAACGAAAATTGAACACTCCAAGGCTTACAAGGTCACGATCAAGCTTTGTTTTCTCGTAATGTCATAAAAGCGTTATGACCTTTCGATGTTGAAGAGAAAATATTTGTCAATTCCAATCACAACAAAACTCCGCTTTAATCTCAACTGATACAGCTATTGAGTGCCGGAGGCAAAATTCAGTGCCTATCTAGCCAGGCAGTGCAGACTTCTGACGGAAAGCACACGAGTACACCCACTGAAATCGTCCCACGAGAGAGTACCCACAAGTACTGGACAAAGGAAACACAAACCCAATCGAGAAAACGGGAAGAGGGAGCAGCCAAAAAAAAAAAAGAAGAGGAAATATATTTCCCGGCAAATGAGATTAGATGAGATCCTAAAATTTTTATTCATTCTATTTCAACGAATGTTTTGCGCTGCGCTGTTACAATTTAAAAAAGTTAAGTTTTATAAATTTTTCTAGTAATCATCGTTGAAAAATACAAGCTGAGCGTCGCACACCCAGTGTAAAACTGCGACAGAAATTTTCTGCGCGACGTTAGAAAGCAGCGGGAATAAGGCTAGAAGCTCCGAGAAAGAAAAGAAAAAAACGCACCGTTGTGACGCAGCCCCAGGATTTCAAGTTCCATCCACCTCCAGTGAGAAGAGGGGACACTGCACGAAATTAGCACAAAGGGAAGAGACGCGAAAAGGCACCCGGTGCAATAGCATTGTCGAATATTTTTTGCGAACACCCCTTCCCATTCCAGATAAGCTGATGAAGGTTTTTCCTTCACAAAATCAAACGCGCGCCGCTTTAAAAAGAACCAATGATATTGTAACAGCAAAAAAAGAAATAAATAAAATTACAAGGCGAAGTATGCAATTTGTGTTTTACGTTCGAAATCAAAAAAAGTTGAGGTTTTTTGCAATGACTTGCTGGTTATTAGAATCATACGGTATTAAAACCTGTAATGTCATCCACTGTTGCAAAAATTTGTAATTTGAGACTTTCATGAGAAGAAAACTCAATCATATTGGCTCGGCCATGAAAATCTTATTAGTTCACGGTAGGGTTTCAAGTATCAGAAGCGCTTGACATTGAGCTACAACTTTTCTATAAAAAGCTAAGAGAAACTACACAACTTCACGTCTGTAAGGCAGGAAAACAAAAACGCATTAAAAAAATAAAAGGTCGACATAAAGCCCTGCCATTAATATGATCCCTGATAACTTCCATGAAGTTCGATGTTGAGAAAAAATAACTTTCATGTACAGTACTTTACGGAGAAATTGCCTCCCACAAAAAATTCTACTGTACTGTACATTGATTCCGTACGTCAGCAAACTAATCTGCTTCGAGAGTTTCTCCTTTCATCCAAAGCACATCATAATTCTAAGCCTCGATTTACTTGTAGTTTCCCTCGACTTTGAGAGACATCATAACCAGCCCTCGTCCATATTTTGGGCATGAATAATAATAATAATATAGGGCCATCACATACTCGGAGAAACCCGGAGAAGTCCTGTCACGTTGGATTACGGCTTATTTTCGGCTAGTGCTCAACGCGGATTAAGTGCCGCAAAATGTCAGCACCAGTGTGAGTCGGATCCAAACGACTAGGATTGCGAAGAACATCTCATCGCAAAGACGGGACACAGTCGAAAAGGAAAAGCAGGGGGAAGCGAAGAACCCGGAGAATAATGATAAAAGCACAGGAGACGCGTTCGACCTTCTCCTCTCTTCTTCGTTTCCCCGTCTTTCTCATAAGCCAGTCTCCTTCTTGGCAAGTGGGGCTCATGCTGAAGGTCCGTTGTAGAAGACAGTCAAGTACAGTAGAGTACAGTACAGTACAGTACAGTTCTCCTACTCGACAGCAGGTAGAATGACATGAGGCGCCATGAGCTCCACGCGCAAAGAGCCACCATTAAGGTTGATCGCTGCTACATTCCTCGAGCTTGAATTTCACGAGTCCATTTGGCATCCACCTCTTTATCTCACCTTCACTGCTTCTCTAGTTAATATTAACCGCAGTAGTTAAAAACACAATGTGTCTGAGGGTCTATGTCAAAAATGCATAGTATAAGAGGACCCCTAAATGGTGATGCCTCAGTCGCAACGTCCCGCATTAAAACATAGGGATCCACTCTTTGACCCGCATGAAAATACTGTACTGTACAGCATAGTACTGTACGTGAGATTCCAGCAGAAATCTTCTGCTTCACTCGAAGAATAATGTTCAATTCGCGATTTACTGCATTTTGCTTCACTGATGCCGAACATCTACCAAAGTATATCAGACCACCGAAGCTCCGCACACAGGATCAGGAAATCAAGCTTTTGATGCAAAGGAAATTTAATTTCCTCCGGCATCTTTCCGATGCGCATATTTCAGCAGTGCTTTGCATTGAACAACTTGGAGGCACACATGCCGTGTTTCCCGAAAAGTAAGACATGGTCATTGAAATATAGTATCTTTGGCAATATTCTGAGAAATAACCCTGAATGCCCGGAAAAATTCCTCGAAATAATGCGATGGCGATAAAATAAAAAAATTATCCTTCGAGTAAGAATTGTTGAAAAAAATTTTTCTTTCCCTGTCTTCTTCTTCGACTTCAATTTTTGGTCAACTGATCTGTCTCCAGGTTTTCCAAGGCGAGCGATACTCCTCTGTTTCAAAGCATTCGACACACATTCCAATAATAATGGGGGGAATTTTTGCGCTCTCATCACTTGAATAAACGATCTATAATCAGCCCTGATACATTTTTTTTAGTTTACCTATAAAACCTGTTATATTTTTTAAGAAAACGTAAAAAAATACTCCTTTGCAACTCAGACATCCAGAAGCTGGATTCGCGTAGATTTGCATTGATCATGAAAAACAGGCGGGAGTGAGAGGAAAAAATAAAGGAAGAGAAAAGCTAACCTGTAAAGTTTTAACAGCGTTATTCGGCCGAGTTCGGGGCAAAGTTCCGTTGACGACAGCGGATCTGGAGACAGTTCCGTAACCGGGAGACCGAATTTTCCCGGTTTGTCGCTCAAAGAACTCCATCACGGCCTGCTTTTGAAGGGCCTTCAATTCATTGCGGTTCTTTTCGGCGTCCAGGATTTGTCCGGACTTGGACGGAGTGCGGATAGGCGTGGACGCATTGGAGGCCGGTGTGGCCGGGGCAGGTGGCCGCGGCCGCAGTTCGCTCAGGCCAGAGCTCTTCAGCAGGTCTGGCACAGAGCGCGACTGACGTTCGAGTTCGTGGATCCGTTCGGCGACTGACGGAGGCTTCGTCGTGTCGATGTTCGGGGACTTTTCCACTTGTTTCTAAAAAAAAAGAACAGCACATTTTTAAAAATCATATCAAGACCGAAAACAATTCCTGTGCAATACAGCAAAATATCATTACAACAAATACCATTATAGTACAACAAATTGTTCAGTACAACATACTCTGTCTCAAGTCCTTGCAGAAACCCCATAGAGTGCTGAGTACATGTTCAAACAATCTCATTATAAGAAACTTTCCAATTCCAGTACTGTATAACAAACTTTTTCAAGGAATTTTCAATAGATTCTCCGGGTAGAATTTTTCTGATTCGCTTTTATAGCATGGATGAAAGCTTTAATCAATGACAAACATGCTTTCTAGTGGTTCCACACATCAAACTCCCCAGACTGAAGAGATTTTCACATCAGCCTTCCAGGATGAAGAGACTTGCGCAACTGATGGAATGCCTGATTGAAGCTATTTATTCCAGAAAATCCGCCAGTTTTCCAAACAATACTAAAAAAAATCAGAGAATGCCAGCAAAGCAAGATCTAATTGATCATAGACAGTTCTGATGTAAAAATGTTTCGAGCTTTAAAGATTTCTTTACAACAAATTAATCAGCATAACAAACTTTTCTTGAAGTCCCCAAAAGTTTTTTGCAAAAATGTTTGCTGTAATAGCTTGTTACAGCTACTTCTCAACCTTCAGTACCTTTCAGTACCCAATTGACTTCATTCAAAATCGACAAACAGCCTTGAATCGAAATAATCTAGCGAATGTGAGGAGTTACGACTGAGAAAAACTAAGGACACATGCACAAGGAAGAAATACAATTTCAAAGAAACATACGATACGAAACAATGAGCAGAACTCAAACTTCGAGCAATAAAATCACGAAAGAAATCACGTTTAAAATCTGCCGTACACGAAAAACATTGAGAGGATAAAGTCAAACGTTGGATAATCGAAGTGGTTCGGCAATGAAACACAGCAATGATTTTTAACCGAGAGCACAGATTTTAAAAAATCAATAAAAATACCAACTCTTCCCGCAAAAGGTCAAAGTTGTAAAATATATCACTCCTGTCCGCAAACGAACTATCATACATGCTGAGAAAAATGTTCCTTGTTCTTGTTCTTGAGAGTTTCAAAAATTTGCGACTGAAATTTCACCTTGACGGGGCTGATGCCGTAGTAAAGCACGCATTCCGAATTATGCCGTTCCACCGGCGGCACCTTCGCGCTGTGCGCAACGTCGTATTTCACATGTGTAGGGGAACCAGGCGAATTCATAATTAGCTGATTATTATTGCCGCCATTATTGTTGTTGTTCAGATGTCCGTAATTCGACAAATCTCCGAGGGACCCGTGACACTTGAGGGTGTCACTGCTTGAGTTGCTGCTGCTGTTCGTCACCACCGTCGCCACACTTTCTCGGCCGTCTCTGGAGTTGAAGGTCTTCTCCGAATGTCTACAAAAAATGCAAATGACATTAGATTGAGAAAATTCACAACAAAAATTAATGGAACTAAATGCAGGTAAGTTTCCAGGTTTCCGCCAGAAGTACTGAATAGTATCCTATAAAACGATGATGATACTCAAGTAAATTCAGATGATCAGATCGAGGGAGATAATTATTTTGGATCCGCTTTTACAAATGCGAACATTTTCCACCGAATATTTAAAAAAAAAAAACAGTAAACAAATTCCCAGAAAAAATAAATTTAGCCACTCGTGGAACTGCCTTTTTACCCGCTCATTTCGTTGTTGTGCTCCGAGACGTCCAAAATATGTGTTTTAATACTTCTTTGTATCTGCTACGACGTGAATTCTAAAACTCAGCTGGAAATTGATAAAAGCGTTCTGCACTCTCGCTAAGCATATTGAAAAGTTTAAAAATGATAGAATCCGAGAGTTGGTTTGAAAGTTCATCAGAAAAATACTGTTCAAGTACAACATAATTCTTTGGCTACGCACGCTTCAAATTCAAACCAATTAGGCTCAGAAAAATTAAGAGCATTTTTTGAGTATTTTCATTCACTGCCTGGACTCTTGCATCTTCTTCTCCTGCGAAAGGATATTCAAGGCAACCTTCACGTTTAAGGTTAAAAGCAAAAAGTTGCACAGATCGGAAAATGCTCAATGTCGAAAAGAGTAAAGTACAAGACATAAAAACGAATTAACCAAATACTGTATCGTGAACGAAAAAAAAAATCACTGAACGCTATTAGTTGGTCTTTTTTTTATTTTTCTTTACTTCGGGCGGAAACCAGACAACCCTCAGTATGCTCTTACGCATCATCTTTGTAGCCACGATCCGTCCAGTAGATTGCGAGACTGTCGTTGCGCAGTTGGTCCAAAAACGGGGTTCCACCTTCCTCCATTTCCGCCAATTTCGCGAGAGTTTCCTCAGTCA